TGCATACTTTAATTCACTGCCGATGGAGGGGCGTATCCGGCGTACGAGTGTGCCGCGGCGCCAAACCCTTTCTCAGCCAACTGTTGAAACGGGTATGCAAGAACAGTTAGCAGAAAACGTGTGATACCAACGATGTGTATACAGTCTTGTCACTTGCTCGCCTCAACAACAGGGGAGACACCTTGGCACCGCGCCAAACTCATCCCCCTTGAGACGCCCTTCCTCTGCAGTGAACCAGACTATAGTAATCAGATGGAATGCCAAAAGTGTAAACAAAGTGTAAAAAAAACTGATGACCAACTTTTGTCGGTGGAACTGAACGTCCGCTGGATATAGAACAGATTTCGGCTCTCTTCCATTTTCCCAAGGGCGAACTCCACGGTGGGGTGAGCGGGAACGATCTGGATTGAACATACTTTGAAAAAGCTTTAATTGCGACTGTCAAACCCGACAAAATATCTTATTGAGCACCCGAGTGCAAATTATAATGCCGAGATTAAAACAAACCTGGACGAGATCGATCCCGAACCGGCAGGCGGCTGGACTGAAAAAGAATGATTACAAGAAGAAACTGCGACTCATCATACTTAAGTCATTTGTGGCTAACTGCTTCCTGCTCGCCAGGAATCACCTCGAGCAGGCGTTAGAGATGCTTCAAGAGATAAACAGCAAACTAATATCTTGGACCGTTAATCACCTTCTTCTCCATTGTTTTGATAGACTTAACGGCGGAAATGCTGCCTCAGTAAAGCGGTTCGTCCCAACTCCAAAATGAACTGAAAGTAGAAGTTACATGAACAGCTATTGGAACACTTTGAACAAAGCAACGAAAACCAGAGCATCGCAAAAAAGCTACATTTATGAACGCATTACTATAGAAACCATTAACTTGTAATCAAAATGTTTCTGTAATTTCGCGCGCTCTGCCCCTAAGACCGCAATCACAGAAACACTTCAAACGACGAGCGTGAAATGGACTGACTGTTTGCGGTCGATGGACTCCCCTGGAACTACGCGGAGAAAATGCCTCGAGATTACCCTGCTGATACTATTTGACTTCTACAGAAGTGCTGAATCTTCATCCTAATGGAAGAAGGAAGGGATGCTATGGTTACAAAAACCTCTTTACTTCTGAAAGCGCTGCCCAAGATGTAATCTGCTGGCAAGATTGAATACCACAATCGTGATCATGGCATTAGGTAACAATGTTGCCAAACAAAATTAACACAGAGAATTTTCTGACTTTTTTGGATATAACAATCGAGGGGTGCGAACTTCTACTCTGACCCGTTTTCGGGGCTGCACTGTAGTTTTAGCAGAGTTTGATTACGTCAGATCTTACGGTAAGTGGAATGAAGCCAAGGAATCCTTAAGCATAATTATAGCTCGGTTGGCTTGACGACGCCGTAGAAATTCTCTCGTAAAGCTCTGTTTATTATGGTTTCTCAAACAAGCATGGAGTAGCTGACTGCTACCAGTTTCTTCTGGAATGCATCACATCAGGTAGCGAAAAATGTAGAGGTACTTGAACACGTTCTAATGGCGCACAATAAAAGGCTCCTTTATGCACTCCATATCTCGTAGACGTAGTGGGCGTGGCTGCGTGCCTCAGCGAACATGACAAAGGACACGTTTTCGTTTTTACTTTTAGGCAACTTTCATCTTGTGTCAGCTGAACAAAGACATCGCTGCAGTTGTTCCAAAAACTTCCCACTTACAACGCCTCTTACCAGATCTTATTAGCTGATGTCACTCCCTGTCATCCAGCAATTATGTTCCCGTCACAGCCTCTTTATCACACCTCGAAATCAACTTCCAAACCAAGTGGGACACTTTTCAATTCAAAGCGGACACACCTCTTACAATGGGCGGTTAATAACAGATCACACTAGGTACTGCTGCGAGCCCCGCCTCAGCAACATCTTCGCCCTTTTCTCAGGGCGGTCACGATTTTCCAAGGTGTTTTATGAATTCTGCTTCTTCAACTTTTTTCACTTTGCTATTTGGCACGCACACTTCAACTGAAAAGGTTTACCGACGCAGATATGAATCCTCTTTTCAATGAAGTTACCGCAAGTTTTTAAACTTGTTTCGACGCTGTTCTTTCACATTGAATCTTTCACAAGGCAAACATATTCATATTAATATATACAATTAGCGCAACTAGTAGCCCTGCGCCTTTATAGCCACGCCCAATTTTGCGTTTTTCGCGGAATTTTGTTCTTCTCCCGAATTTTCGCTGTCTTAGGCGTAATAAGTGGCTCCGCCCACCAATAGAAGCTCCGCCAATCTTGCAGAACTTTTGGAAACTTTTGGAGAAAAGATGCAGATTGGCAGGCTATCGCCTCTCTCGTCACTTCGGAGCAAGGTTCCACTTTTTCTCCGTTCTGTTTGATGGAAGAGGACCGTGAGCTGGGCGGACTCTAGCCTGCCGATCTGCATCACTTTTCAAAAGTGTGCGGGGCACGAGTCTTACACGGAGGGCGGAGCTAGTAGGCGGAGCTATCAGTTAGGGCCCTAAAAAAGGGAAATTAAGGTGAAAAGATCAAAACACCGCGAAAAACGCCAAAAGGTGGACGTGGACAGGAGGTCGGGGCTCAGTGCGCTAGTGTACGAATGCACTGCATGAGTATGTACATAGGTTCGTGAAGAATGAATATGAAAAGACGACATCGAAAAAGTTATATAAATTCAAAACTTGCGGTAACTTCATTTGAATGTGGGCAGAGTCACATCTGTATACCAAACCTTTTCAGTTGGAGTGTGTGTGCCAAATAGCAAAAGTTAAGAAAAAAAATTGAAGAAGCAGTATTCCTAAAACATTTTGGAAAACCGTGACCGCGCGAGAAGTGGGCGGGGATGTTCGGGCGGGGCTGCAGCAGTACTAGTGTGATTCTATTTATAAACTGCCCATTGTAAAAAAATTTGTCCGACTTGATTTCAAAAGTGTTCCGGATTTGGTCTGAAAAGTGTCCGATTTGAAGTGAAAATGGATACATACAGGGGCCAAAAAAGACACTTTTCTTCCTCGACTTCCGAGGCCATAAAAATCACACTTTATTAAATTTTCATTAGGCATTTCTGCCATCATATTCAACGCATTGTACACTACCACAACACTCCGCCACGGCATTCTGAACGAACGCCGTCGAGAGGTTCTGCCACGCGACCGTGATTAGGTGCCTGAGTTCAGCGAGTCGCTGACTTTTCCGCCACTGTAGACCACCTTGTTGAACTCCGCCAGAACCCGGTAATCAAGAGGGCTTAAAACAGGTAGCACACTCCTGCATTCCGTCTTCATCAGGCTCTCAATGCCCTTTAGTTCCAAGTAAGTGAGAGTTTGTGCAACGCTTTTCTATTCCATGTGTTGATACCCAATCCTGTAGCAGTACGAAGTTTCCAAGATGGCATGGGCGAAGACATCAAGGCAGATTATTCTCCTCAAGTTGGTCGATGTCACCGCCAGCGTTCACTTTCAGTCCGGGGTCCACAAAGAAATTATAGGTTTTCCGCATCCGAGGGAGAGCTTCCGGTCCATGCCATCAACCCGCGCCTTGGCGACTGCGGTGAAGATGATATTCTGGAGCACAGCGACGTCTGCGTAGCTGCTCGGAGGAGATGTGAATTCCATAGGCCTTCTCCAGTCAGGCTGCGATTGGAGATGGCTTCATATTTTGGTGTACATGAAGGTGATGGGCGAGAGCCAGCTCCTGCTTATCGAGGAACATCTTGGGTATCTTCCGCCCTGGTACTCGTATCCACGTCCTCTGTCTGGGCTGCGAAAACTTTGCTGATAGGGATCGGCGAAGTGCTTTTTTGCTCCCCTCTCCGTATAGTAGGTAAGGGTAGACACGTATTCACAGGAAATTCTAGATGCGATTCGTGCAGTTAGAAACCTGGTCCGTATCTGTACTTCACCAGGGAAGCTCTCTTGCCAATGTTGCACGAGAATTCTCGTTTCTAAACTTCTGTACAATTAAATAATTTCATTAACTGAATAAAACTCGATCTTTATCACATATTATATCGGCATATCGTGAACAATAGAACACTTTGTAAAAAAAGCCACAGGTTTAACATTCTCGATCTCCAAGCTCAAGTTTTTTGTACAGCTCGAAAACGACGTCCATGACACGCTTGAAATCAGGCTTCGTACCAGCGAAAGTCATCGGATCAACATGGATCTCTAGCTTTGATGCCAACTGCACAGCCAATTGTGGACATTTATCTCGTTGAAGTAATGAAGCACGATCGAGCTGCAATAGATAAAAACTTGTTTTATTGTACTAATTGCTATCTAACTCCATGGTTTGAGAGTCATAAAATCGAATTTTTTTCGAAATTGAAATAAAAAGCGGTGAGATCATGGCTAAAATGGTGCTACTGATATTTCAACAGCGAGGTGCTGGCAAAAAGATGAGCCTCTGGTTTTTTTCCTAGTTCAAACTCCTCACCAGACAGAAAAGACTGCATTGCATAAGTGCTAGTAAGTGATAAACACTACTGATAGGCGGATGTGTGAATCATGAGTGAATAGAATCCTTTCATTCTATAAACCAGTAACTTTGTGTGTCGGTTTGTATGTTTGTATGTATGTATGTCTGTCTGTCCGTCCGCAAAATGCTTCACGGGTTCGAGTTCGCTGGAGGCGAAAACGACCGCTAGGCAAACCGGTAACCGACTGGGAGGATGTAGCAGTCCAATGATTTGATTGTGATAACAGCCTCCGCTATATAAGACAACCATTCGGTACACTCCGAGCCATTGCACGAGCTGCTGGCGTGGCAGCTGGACGTGTGCTCGTGCGGGGGCAGGGTGGGGGTACCGGGTCGCCCTGCCTCCCTCTCCTGCACGTGCTCAGCCGGAGCTGAGCAGTGTATGGGAGGGAGGCAGAGGGGAGGGTCGCGGGGGGGTACAGTGAGGGGTGCGTAGCGCGCGTTTCAGTAGAAACGCGCACCAAGGGATGAGGAAACAACCGCTAACAAAACTGCAAGCCAATCTATGTTACCGTAACGAACTAAGAAGTTGTTTTGGTTGTGATAACACTCTCCACTATATAAGAAAACCACTACACTCCGAGCCATTGCACGGGTTGCTCGCGTAGCAGCTGGACGTAAGCGCGTGCAAGGGGCAAGGTGGGGGGGGGGTGGAGTGGCGAGTACGGAATGGGGTGAGGTGAGGAAGGTGGGAGTTAGTATCGAGTGACCCCTTCTCCCATCCTCACTCCCTTGCGCGTACTCAGTCGTCTGAGCCCATGCAGGGGAAGGAGGCATATGGATTGAATCGGGCAAACTGGGTACAGTAAGGGGATGCGTAGCGTACGCTTGAATAGGAGCAGGCGGCAAGAACCGCTAGCAAAACTGCAAGCTAATCCATGTTACAGCAACGAACTAAGAAGTTGTTTGGATTGTGAATCGCTCCCGCTATCTAAGCCAACCACTGTGATATACTCTGTGCTACTGCAGGAGCTGCTCGCTTGGGAGCTGGACGTGAGCACGAGCAAGGCGGTGGTAAGAACAGTGGCGGCGTAGTGTCCCTATGTTGCATGGCGGCTGCATACCACGTGCGGGAGTGGGTGCCGGTTGAATAGGGTCAGTGGGATATGATGTGGTGAGGGGATACCAGATGAGAACGGCGATTTCGCGATTAGGAGCACATAGCCCCTGCGGCGGTAAGGCGTCTACGGTTGCGACAAGATGGGAAGAAAATGGATCGACCGCAATCGGAACTGAACCGATTAATGTTGCATTATCAAATTGTGGTAGCGTTTTGATAGTCATAACACCCTCCACAACCAACCATTTAGTGCACTCAGAACCATTGCACGGGCTATTCGCGTAGCAGCTGAGCGTGACCTGTAGGGTGGCTGAGCGGGGAATAGCTGAGGTTAGTTTGGGGATAGGTGAGGTGAAGGGGTACCATATTGGCGCGACCGACGCTCGCCTGAACAGGAGCACGCAGCGACTGCGGAGACCGAAGAATCCGTGGCTGTCATAAGATGGGGAGGACAGTAATCGATTATCCATGACCAGATTTTAAACTTTTCATTATAAAAGTGCCCTGCGACTATATGGCGCGTTCCTACATTTATTTGATTAGAAGACACCGGTTAGTCACCATGAGAGCATCATAATAAGACAGTAGTATCGCCCTGCTTATGCCTTACTTTGCTCCTTTCTTTCACGAGTTAAGAAGTGAGGCTCTAAAGCAGTTGCATGAGCCCGGCGAAGCCGGGCTTCCAAGAAGGAGGAGAGCTCGGCGTTAGCCGGGCGATCCGACTGGTGTTTTTATATCACAATGTATAGCTGTAATACGTCACTTGGAAGTAGTTCAGCTCAACTCAATTCTTACCAATTCAGGTTGAAAGTGATGAATCAACGCGCAAAAAGCACGTCCATCACACCAGTCGGAAGTGAAATTCGAAACGGATATAGAGGGATAGGCCGTGAGGCTGAAATCATAAGACGTATAGTGTAGTTCTCTGCGGACGGTTGGGCGTGTCAGTGCGGCTGCGTTTGGCGCGGTGCCAAACCCGTTCTCCACCAGTTGTTAAAGCGAGCAAATGATATGACTGTATCATATCGATCGTATTACTCGTTTTCTACCACTTTTTGTCGCATGCGCGCTTCAACAAGAAGGCAGAGAACGGCCTTGACGCTGTGCACACTCATACTGGCTGACACGCCCAACCGTCCGCAGCGAAGCTAGAGTGCAAGCGATGAGACGAAGAGTTAATTGTATGTTGAAAACAGACACATCTTTCCACTGACTCAGTGCGGCAGTCTGGGATATTTTCAGAGACATCATGATGAAACAACTCTCAGGCAGTGCCTCTACCTTCCAGTACTGTGTTGGATAACAGTGTTGAGTAAGGTTTTCAGTCAGGATCAACTAACTTTGAGTCACACATCGGAAAATATTGATGTCTAAATGTGTTGAAATGGTAAATGGTATGATTTACATACCGATCGACTTAAAAACAAACCGCACAGTCTGCTCCGTGCACGGTTCTTCCTCTGAATGAGATAGATGGGTGCGCAGCTGGGTGCAAGTACCGTACCACTTTCTCCGCTCAAAAGTGCAGGGGAACGGGCTGCAGGGTAGTGATGCCCGGGTGACGTCTCCATACTCCACACCCTACGGCTAGACGTGTGATTGGCCATGGTTCAGCGCAGGTGGCGCATAGAAGCGCCACTTGGACACCCTCCAGCTTCGCTGCCGTACACTTTTGAAAGTATCACGCTGTTGCAGTTGTGGATTCATTTCGCTCGCAGATGGCAAGGACCAGGGTCCACGAAGGTGAGTGTGCAGTTTGTCTAGTTTGTCTTGAACCAAGCCCATGTTATGTACTCCTTATCCCTGAGCCAGAGTAGGCGTGGCATTTGAATTCTCGTTAATCATGGAATGTTCCAGTCTGGGACAACTGTCATCTTGTTCTGAGTTGGACAGAGACACGACAACAATTGTGTCAAGATGAAAATATCTCACCAGAAGCATAGACACCTTCAGGTTAAGTTGAAACATGCGGCCACGCCTACCCGATCTCAGGGTTTTGAGTATATGTCCGGCGCACGACGATTACGACCTCATTCGGGAGCCCAGACCACCTCCTGGATAGTTGAGAGTGAGCTATTTATTTATTGAGCTCATTGTCATTCTCAGCATGCTGCGCATGCTTGCCGTGGTGCGTACCCACAGCTCTTGGGGTTCATTTACATCATAAATCATCTGAGAGACAGTCACTGAGCCCAAAAATATTGAAAATCGTACAAATGGTTTCTGTGGTAGAATTTCAAATGTGAAATACCGTGTGGTCATTTAAGTTTGATTTTCATTACGACTTACTGTGCCTCGGCCCAGGCGAGTAGTGCGTTACGCTTTGTACTTCGTTGGAATTTCTGCATCAAATCGTCCCATATCGCCTCATCAGGAGACGCAGTCGTTCTATTAGCATCAATCATCCTTCAAATAGAAAGTTGATAGGCTTTCTATAAGGTTGCTGAGGTTTTGCGCGTTTGCTAAGCAGTTTGTCCGAAAACTTGTGAGTAAGGCAAAGAGCACGAACTTCATCGTGCGAACTACGCAAGCCTTTTTGTAGACGATCGCCCCAGCGAGATATGTATATCGCAATCACTTGTAAAAGGGCCACACATGAAACCATTCAACGGCTTTAATCTCGTTGCAAACGACCACTCTCAACAGTCTTGTTCGCTACTGATGATGGGGTGTGACAGTGAGGCTGAGTGAGGCGAGAAAATAACCCGTTCTTCACCAGTTACTGAAAAGGGTAAGCGGGCAACATTAGGTGTAAAACGACTGCTACGAAGGACGTGATTCACTACCATCGCTCGCCGAGCAGTGAACAAGACTGCACAATGGTTCCCTTATGAGATACAGTTTTGGGATCACCAATAAAATTGACCAAACTGCCTTGTGACCGGGGTTTCCGTTAGGAATACGAGCAAAATACGGCCACAATCGGGAGCAGCATGCTCATCCCGAGGCCAAGACCGTTTTCCCTTGAATGTGCAGCCCTTGCACTCGCGATCAAGCAGAATGCAGTGGCAGGTGACATGGGCAGGGTTCAGGGGTTGAGGGTCATCGAGAGATACTAAGTGTACAGGGGGGGGGGCAAAAAAGACCCTTTCTTCCTCGACTTTCAAGGCGATATAAGTTACACTTTATTAAATTCTGATTGGACATTTCCACCACCATATTCAACAACACATTGTACACTATTCGATACTCCGCCACAGCCTTTTGGACGAAGGCCATCAAGAGGTTTTGCCACGCGCCTGGCGTGCTGCCACCCAATCCTATAGCAGCGCGAAGTTTCCAAGGCGGTCAGGCGACGACATGAAGGCAGGATATTCTCGTCGACCTTTTAAATTAAAGGCAGCCTTCACTTTCAGTCCGCGGGGAGTCCACGAAGAAAATATCGGTCTTCCCATTCCAGGAACTTCCGGTCCATACCATCAACCGCGCCTTGGCGACTGCGGTGAAGATGATATCCTGGACCGTAGCGACGTTGTCGGAGCTGCTCGATGTTGGAGGTCTTCCAGATCAAGAGTGCCGGTCTCCAGGTAGCTGTCCATGGGTGACTCCATACAAGAAGTTTCGCAGCTGTTTGGAGGTGACGTGAATTCCATAGGCCTTCTCCAGTTCGGCTGCGATTGGAGATGGCTTCATATTTTGGTGTACATGAAGGTGATGGGCGAGAGCCTGCTCCTGCTTATCGAGGAACATCTTGGGTATCTTCCGCCCTGGTACTCGTATCCACGTCCTCTGTCTGGGCTGCGAAAACTTTGCTGATATGTGACTCGGTCGAAGTGTCTTTTTTTGGTTTCCGTCCCCCCCCCCCAGTACATCCCTTAGTCGTGACAATTTAGTTACACCATCTTGCTCATGTATTCAGTGCAGTTTCTCACTCAGTTTCCGGGTGCAGTATAAGAAACATCGTACCTGTTAACCTCGGCTTGGGCTTCTTCTCGATGTCTCTCGGCCACCTTGACCGCAGCGATGAAATCTTTCAGTTGTGCTTTGTGTTGCACACGTTCGTTCTGAAATTTCGTCAGCGTGAAGAGTAACTCCGCATCGAATTCCAACATGATACTTCTTCACCTACGCGTCTAATAAAGATTAATCCACAACGTAGGCGGTGCGGTAGGAGCGTATTCAGGGCACGTTAGGGCTGTTCGAAGGAATTCACGAATGATGGGTAGCTTGTGACGATTCTACGGAGAGAATGCTCTCTTATGAATTCCCAACGCGAAAAAAAGAAGTGCTGTTTCTTCGGGTTAGATAAAAATGGTACGATCACACCTCCGTTAATTATGCCTCGCTTATGCCTCGCCCCTAGGTGCGAGACATCATTAACGAGGTGCGAAGCGACCTCATTAAGCAGGGGGAAATCGTGCTCGAGTGCGAAGTGACCTCATTCAATGAGAGATCATTGAGTTATCGAAATCGGAATAAATCGAGTGAAAACTAAACTATCAGGAAATTAAAAAATTTCTGATTCCCGTTCTTATGTGTATGAAACCTTTCCAGGGTTCCCTCAGACATCGTGCCCCACTCCTTTGTATGTAACACCGCCACCCAATTTTTCCCCGGCACCAGCACCTTCGTACGACGTAGGGCTTGCACCACCACATAGTTTCCCCCCGCGCCGGCACCTTTCTACTACGTCGCTCGGGATCCAACATACACCGTTATCCCTGTACCAGAAACTTCTTACTACGTGGAGCCCTTCTCTCCATACACTTTTTCCACCTCCCGGGCAACTTCCTCTTCAGCAACACCCACGCTAAGACAGTGCGAGAGGTGTACATGGCGAGGAAAGAGAAAATATCTGAGGAAATGGCAAAGTAGGACACCTTCAGATCCCTTTCTTT